GGAGGCTGCTGTCATTATTCCCCCACCTGTCCTTGGAGGTATTGAGCAGGCACCATTTTCTGTATTTCTTAAAAGATAAAGCAAGGTTTTGGCCACATTTTCAAAATACTTCTAGCCCATTCACTCCCATCTCCCTTACTCCCCTACCCCTCCACCTCCAGCCCGACACAAAGGTAAAACTTGTTGTAAAGAAAAGTATCGGAAGTGGTATAGGACGTTGCTGAAGTGTGACTGAGCTGGTCAGCAGCTCCCTTCTCAGAGCCGCAGTGGGGGCAGGGCCTGCCAGGTGGCGGGTGTCCGCAGACCACTGGAGCCCTGTAGGCGCTGGGCTTCTCTGGGTCCCAGTCCCCACCGGTGCGGTGTGGGGGGGGGGTGAGATCCCACACAGCAGGCTCGGCACAGTCAACAAGGCCCAACAAACAAACGCCAGGCTGCATCCTTGCAGGAGTCCCTTCACCGAGGCGCGTTCCTCATCCTCCAGAATCGCCTCCTCTGGGACCACCAGCGGGCGGGGCGGCACCCCGCCTCGCTGCCCTCAGCCTTTTCCTTCATGGTCAGCTTGTTACAGGGCACCCCAATGTGAATTGGGTTGCCTGTCTGTGGGTCTTCACCCGGGCGCTTACGATTCACTTATGGACACACTCAAAAGGTTAAATAATGGATTTACTTATAAGGAGAAAGGTAAAGGAATAACCCAGGGAAAGAGGGAGAGAAACACAGGTTAACTAGGATGTCCTACCAGTTCTGCTGACGTGGACTCCACCGGCACGGTGAAAACGGATTGAGCGCCAAAACGATCAGCTGAGAACCACCAGGTCCCCCCAGAGCCCACATGTCTGGTTTTATCCCAACCTGGCTGCTCAGCTCCGCCCTCACGTCCCACGTGCTTCTTCTTGGTACTGATGGGATTTGGAGTTCCAGCATCTGGAGTGGGGCGGAGTCCACGAGACCTGTACCTGTCACAAGCTCACACTCCATCTCCTCAGGGAGGCCTTTTCTGTGACACCCACGCTCCCATGATCCAGGTCTCCCTTCACTGTGCCCTCCGAGGCCGCTCCCATGGCAGGGCGGTGGGAGACCGCCTGCCCTTCTGTGGGATGTGCTTCCAAGAGGAGCCTGCTGGTCACTCCGTGGGGCCCCCGGCGCCTGGCATGAGCCAGGACTTAACAACTGCCCCTGCTTTATTTATTGAACAAGCAAAAACTGTGCCCATCGTCAGATCAGACATCTAACCACCTCCTCCCGGCTCTGAACTGGCCCCCCAGATGGAATTCTGCCTGCTACAGGTGCCAAGCCAGCATGCAGTCCTTGGGGAAAGTGTTGCTAAGGTGGCTCCCCTCGGGGGTGCGCTGTGGGGTGTGCATCTGCTGTCTCTGGCAGTTTCTCGGGGTCCTTTGTACTTGACATCGCTGGGCCAGTTGTCCTGGTTTGCAGGCTAGGAAGAGCGGTCCGGAGGCGAGGCTGAGGATGCCGGTAACCATGGTAACATGGTTTCTGTCCTTCTCACTCCCTTTCATCTTCACCAGGACTGTGAGCTCAGCACTATCCTTGGCCTCCTTCCTCAGACCTGGAAACTGAGTCTGCTGAGAAGGAGAGGCAGGATTCGTGCTCCTCTGGGTGACTCAGAAGCTCACGCCCCTCACCATCTCGGGATTCTGCATCAAGCTGGCTCCAGGCTCTCCCCGCAGCACCTTCCTGCTCCTCCCTCCTCAGGCACCAGGGTGGGAAAGTCAACACCCTCCACCTCATGTCTTTAGACTCAGTGGCCCTGAGAACCACAGCCTGTGATGGCTCAGGACTGGGGTCCACACCCCACCCCAGGTGCAGACTGACAAAGGCCGAGGACAATGGTTCATTCCTCACAACCAAGCCCACTGTCCAATTTTATTGACACAAAAATAACAAAATACCAACGGGTTACACAAGACCAGGAAGACCAGGAGGATCAATTTCAGAGTAACTGATATTCTACAAACATCCCCAAGTGAGGTATGAACCCTGAGAAATGACCTCACAAGGGCAGAAGCCATCCCCCAACACTAAGGCTTTCAGGACAATCTCTCTTTTTATCTATGTATAAAACTTCATGGTATTTCTTTATTTTCTTTCTTTCTTCATTCATTGGTTTATTCTAAGCATCCTTCACAGTCTAGGATTCTCTCCTCAGATGCAGTCACCATAATTTTCCCACCACCAAGGCCCACAGTTCTCCACCACACTCTTCTCCCCTCTTGCTCTCTACTCTCCCTCTCTTCTTCCTCTTCCCTATCCTCTCCCGGGGGTCTCATATCTATAGTCTGTTTTCTTTCTTTTTTTTTTTTTTTTACTTTTTATATTTATTTATCTTTTACATCATTCTTCTTTTTGTGCACAGGACAATCTCTCTTTTTTAAAAGATTTATTTATTTGTGCATACAGAACTGGGGTACAGGCCAGAGGCTCAGGGGCGGGTAGAGGCTTCACCAGAGACAGAGTGGGGAGCAGAACAGGCAGATCTGCGAAGTACACTGCTGAGGGGAGCAGCGGGCAGTCAGGAGAGGTCTGCCCGGCCATGTGGTCACCTCTGGGGCAGGTCAGAATCAACTCAAGCGGAAGTGGTTTTAGCTTCTTAGTGCTGTGCTTTAAGCTGCTGCGCCACCAGGGAGGGCCAGGACAATCTCTTAAGAAACCAGAAGCCCAGAGCCCACGATGACCCCAGGGCTTCTATAAAAAGCTCCTCCCTGCAAACCCTGGCTTGCCTAGAGGGCACTAAGAAAGGTTTTCATTGTCTCCAGTATAGACAGCTGAATTATGAGGCCAGATGCCCAGCCCTAGGCCTGAGTGGCTGCAGCGGTGGAGAAGGGACATGGTTGGAGGTGAGGGCAACAAGAACTACACCCCACAGGGCCCAGAGGCTCCACTCAGAGCTTGCAGGGGAGACTTCAAGGTCTGTCTTAGTGTTAAAGTGGTTGCTCAGGCTGCTGCTTGGAAAAGACTGTAGCTGATGATGGGAGAAACCAGGCGGAAGGCCCTGCAAGAATGCAGGCCTACCTCATGGGGGCTCAGGACAAGTCGCCTCAGGATAAGACAGGTTGGGGAAGTATGCACATAATTTCTGAAAGGCCGCCCAAGAGACCCATGGGTTCCTAGAAACCCAGGGAGGCAGGGAGAGGCCTTGAAACCTGTCCTTGCATTAACCTTGGACTAGCACTGAGAGGCAGCTGCACCGAACCGGCCTGATAAGGATCTAAAGCAACCGCTTCCTCCCACCTTCCGCCCAGCTGCACCCAACCCACATCTCCTGCATACCTGACTGAACCCCCAAAAGTCATTAAAAAGCCCCCAGACTCTCACCCTGGCTCGACTCTCCAACCCTGGGTGGGTGTGTTATAGGGCACCTCAATTCAGAGAGAGGCACCCCTGAAGCCCCAAAACCTGCCTGCTCTAAGTGGGTTCTGCCATCCGCCGCAACAAGACAAAACATATAAAGCTTTAATGAAAAGTGACTTTAATACAGTGAATATACAATATGAAACACAAAGAATGTAACTTCTAAATCAAACACCTGAAGTTACCCATCCCCTCGTGGGCAAAAGTCAACCCAAAAGGGTGTGGCCCAAAGCAAGGCCTGAAAGCCTGCCACAAGACTAAAGCACCTTCTGGCCGGGACCCATGGAAAAGGGTCAGAAATGGCCAGACAAATCTGAGAGGAAAAGAGCAAAATCAAAATCAATATAAACACTACCATGGTCACCTCCCTACAGGTCTCTCACCCACATCTGCCTTAACCAGTCCAGGGTCAGGAAACAAGCGCGGTTTCTTCATCACATGTTTGCTGCTCCATGTGGCTTCCTTAGGTCTCCTTCTCCATCTGTCTGTGTCTTTCTTTCTTTTTTCTTCTCTCTCCTTTTTCTCTGCTCAGTTCCACCCTCCTTCTGGGTGGAGCAGGGAACCTGGAACTTCCCTTCTCCTAGGGACCACCCAGTTACAGGTGAACCTCGCCTGGTAGGTTCAATAAAGGCTCCATGCTGGCCACTCTCACGGCCTGGACTCTCTTTTTCTGTCTCTGCATGTTTTGCCAAGATATTTGAAGACCTCTTTGTGCTTCTCTATAAAGCCTCTGCTGCTCCTTTCAATTTCCTGACAGAAGGGAGTGAAAGATGAGGAACGAGGAGCCAGGGATGAGGCTAGGGCAGGGCTGGGGCTCCCTGGTGCTTGTGGTGCCATTTCTTGGGGTGCTGAGAACTAAATGCTCTCTGATGCCCTGAGCCCAGAGCAACAAGGTAAAGCTGGTGCTTTGGCTTCAAGCTTCTCTGCCCCTCCTGTAAATCTCATCCCCACACCAGCCAGCAAGCTAGCCACTCGCTCACTCATTCCCGTGTTCATTTAACAAACACCATTCGTAATTACTGTTAGGGTCCGAGAACTCGATTACCGCGAAAGACAGAGCGTCACACAAGAATGCAATTTGCAAAGTAGAGTTTATTGGGCTGGCTAGCCAGGGTCAAGCCATTCCCTGCCGGACACGCAGGACCAAGGGTGCGAGCGAGACCCCGACCAAAGGAATGTCGGGGAATATATAGACCTTATTGGCCGTTACATACGTCAGAGCCCGCGCAAATTCAACTTAGCAAATGGATTCAAAGATTAACAGAGGTCACAGCCTGGGTCACAGTTCAACCACCCAAGGACAGGTTTCCAGGAATAGATGTCTCTTTTCCTGGTGCTCCAGTCCAATCAGCCTGGGCCACACCATTCCCATTATCCAATCAATTTAAATATACATTGTCCCTCTTTAACCTATCCTGCATTCGGGGGTGGGAGGGTACTTGCTTGGGCTTGTTTTGCTCAGGCTTGCGTTACTTCCTCCATTCCTTCAATTACCAGGTGGTAAACACAAAGAGGAATGGGCACACAGTTGGTGGGCGATGCCGAGACAGTCACCGTCTCTCGTCCAGTATTCACTCATCACATAGCAGCGCAGCAATCCACTAGCCCTTCACTTCCGGCGAGCAAGCACCATGGTAGCCACTGAGGATGACCTTGCCAACGGTAAAGTCCCAGTCTACTCCGAGAGCCTGCAGTTAGCACCCTCGCTCATTCATTCACTGAAGGGCCACCAACGTGCAGCCGGGCAGGGCCTGGGAGAGGATTTCTGCTGGATGACCCAACAGTAGGTGCCAGCAGGCGTCTCCAAGCAACAAGGCTTCCCTCACTGCCCTGGCTCCCTGTGGGGTTCCACCTGCTCCCCTCACTGTGTGAACCAACCCTGGTGGCAGCAGTTTCCCCCAATGTGACACCTCCCTCCAGCATGCGGGGGCTAGTTCTCGTGTCATCGTCCTACAGAAAACCATGAGCCCATCCACTCAGGCAGACATCCTTGCGGCCATCCATCTGGGCACCTTCTGATCCTCCTTGACACCCACAGATCCCAGAGCCCAAGATGCAGCCCCACTGGGGGCTTCTGGTCCTCCTCAGCTTGCTGCTCCTGCCCTCAGCACTGCACAAACAGCCCTGGTCTGGCCAGGACGACATTCCCCTACACAGCAAGTCTACCCTGGTGAAACGTAAGCTAACCCATGCTCTGTCTACTGTCACAGGGAAGGTGGGGACAGTACCACTGATTAGGAGGCCGTTGGTCAATCTTCTCTTTCTTTTTCTTAGGTACAGAACATTGAGGTTGAGTTGTTCCTATGCTAACTCGCACTACATCATAGTGACCATGGCAAGGCCCCTCTGGGTTCTATTTTGTGTTATTTCTCCTTTACCTCTTCTGTGTATTCTGTTTCCCTCTTCCTTGGCAGGCACTTCAGGGCATATTATCTGAGTCTTCAAATATCTTGGCAAACATGCAGAGATTTTGTGACAAGCAGTGGGGTTCTCTACTAAATGGTGCATAGAGCAGATAATGGCATCAGGTATTTGAGAAATCAGCCTTGTTTGAGAATAGATAAGGAAAGACTGACAACACACTGAAAGCTGCCTCCTTGATTAAGCAAGTGAGGTTGTCCAGGTGTTGGGGACCAGGGTTGGGGACAAAGGAGTTAAACGCGATTGGCTGGCTGAGAAGAAGATGAGGACACAGAAATGTGGGCTTGGCTGAATGGAGGTCATTGGCCCGCCACAGGGCATTTCCTCCACAAAGGAAAAGGCCTTCCGCAGATAGCAGTCTCCAGCTCCTGTTAGCAGACCCCGGCTCCTGGATCTCCCCCTCCCCCTCCCCCATTGTGTGCTCTGTCTCCAGGTAGCCTTTTTGGTCATTTCAAGGTTGTGTGTTTCTACTTGTTCAGCTGCGACAGGTAAACATCTCCAAAAGGATAAGGTTTTATTTTTTTCTTTCTTGTATTTTGCAGTCTGACACCAATTTAAATCTCCACACACACACACCCCTCCACAGACTGTTACATTCCTCAGTCTTGCAAGATTTGGGGGCAATGACCACTCTGGAGAAAGTTTACCTTTTTTTTTTTACAATTTAGAGGTTGAGTTATTCAATTATTTTCTATAACCAGCTTTCCATTCCTGAAAATAACCCATCCAGTTACACAGTGTCCAGTTCTGCAGGGGGGTCCTCTAACTGACTCCCAAAGTTAGTTTTCTACTGTGCAAGCAAAGAAACCAAAGATAAACAAAGGTTAAAATGGCAGCAAACCACAAATCCATGTGGGCTGCGGGCTATCAGCAGAGATTTGTAAATGTCAACTCAGAGAATCTTCAGACAACAATCTCCTGGGCTGTGTCCCACAGGTTAGGCTCTGAGCTCCAGACTCGAAATGCCCCAACATGGACCATCAGCCAGAACATCTCCTGTTAGACACTACTGCCTGAAGACCCTCTGCGGTGTCCCCCCCACACCTCGCAAAGCATCATCTCCCAGATGAAGCATATGGATCAGTGCTTAGGAGGGATGATGTTAATACTCAGCCCGAATGGGGGACCAGTCTATAATCCAGGCCTCCTGCCTCTACCCCCGGCTTTTCCAGGACACTGCACAGTGTCACTGACTCTCTGTCCATTTCTAGTCATTGCCCAGGGCCTCATGAAGTACAATGTAGAGAGCCGAATCCAGAACCTTCGCCTCCTGGACAGTCTGAAAGCCTTGGGCCAGATGGCCCCAGGAGTGGTGGGCTGGCTGATTGGCAACCTGAAACTCCAGCAGCAGCAAGACAGCAGGTGAGACCCTGGAGCCCATCCCTGGACCTGGGGCTCTATAAAGTGGAGGGTCAGGACACCTGTGGAGAGGGAAGGAAGGGAGAATAAAGAAGAGGTAGGGAGCCAATGAAAAAATGAGTGGGGGCACAATACTAAGGGTCAGGGGAGAGCAGGGTATTTAAATCGATGACTTGGCAGTAAAAGTATGTGCATTTAAATGTTGGTTCTACCATCAACCTTGGGAAACTGCTAGACCACTCAGCCTCGTCTACAACATGGGTAGACAGAACACAGCCTGGATAGATACCTGGGGTGTCAAAGGAACCCAGCACCTGAGCTAGACATTGAACCCCATTCTATTGCTGGATGATTTGTGACTCTGGACAGACAAGGCATTTCAGAGCTCTGAGCTTCACATTTGAGTCCTCATGTGAAAGAGGCATCATCATCATCCCTGCCTCTGGGAGTTGCTGGGAGCTTCCTCTGCTTGCAGGGCAGATACAACATGGCCATCAGTCACCACAATTAACCTCACAGAGGTGGGTCTGTCCTGCTCACCTCATTTTTACTCTGCCTAGACAGATGCAGGTTCCCTCAGCTTCCCCATTCAAACGACTCAACAACAACACCATTATTCCAGCCTGTACCCTTGAACTTTCTTCTCTCTGATTTGAATCCTTCTTTCTCTCCATTTTCATAAGCACCAGTCACCTCCCTCATTCCTTCCTGTAACAACTGTTACAATTATCTGCTGGATGCCTATTGTGTGCCAGGAACTAGATAAACAAGAGATATGGTCACTGCCTTTGGGATCTTACTTCTTAGTTTATGAGTTTGCCACAAAAATCAGTAATTTCAAGTAGGAAGGATATGTTATGAAGAAAATTTGGCAGTGTAAGGGGTGAGAGTGAGGGGACTGATCAGGAGGTAACCCTAAGGAGATAACCCTTACATAGATATTTTAATGAAGAGAAGGAAACACGGAAGACATAGAGGGAGCCGTAAGTGCCAAGGCCCTGGGGTAGGAAAAAGATGTGTGCGTTGCAGAGGAGAGAAAGCTCTGTGAGCCCCAATGACGAAGGGGAGGGTGGAAGGAGATAGAGCTACAGTGGCAGGTAGGACAGATCCTGCAGGTCTTAGGGCTGTGATGTGAAGTTTGGATTTTTCCCAAGAGCAGTGGAAAATGTGGAATGATAAGAGAAAGTGAGGGGCACTCTGGCCACTCCATGGGGAGTAGTTTGTAGAGGGGCTGAGATCTTAGCAAGCAATCCACGAGACACTGGCAAGAAGTGATGCTAGGGGCCTCCCTCGTGGCACAGGGGGTTGAAGCGCAGCCACTGCAGGGCAAGTTCAAGCCCCGGTCAGGGGGGTGACCCCCATGGTGTGGCAGACCCCTCCTGTCTCCCCTGCTGCTCCCCTCAGCAGTGTGTTTCAGTAGAGCTGCCTGTTCTGCTCCCCACTGTCTCTGGTGAATGCTCTCACACATACACCCTGCCCTTCTGGCCTGGACCCCAGTTCTTAAATGCATAAATAGATAAATCTTAAAAAAAAATTAAAGAAGTGATGATGACCTGGACCAGGTAAAAGTAAGAGGTGGTGGGAGTGGTTTACAGGCAGAGCCGACACAGTTCACTCAGCGAGCTGAGTGCGAGGTGAGGGGTGGAGAGTGGCCAAAGGTTGCTCGTGGCGTTTGGTTTTGGGCAGCTGATGGTGGCTGTCTGTCGAGGACGGGTGCTGGTCTGGAGTAGACTCAGGTCTGGCCTACAGCTGGCTGTGGGTTATGCAGATCAGCTGTGTGAAACCAGGCAAACGCTGCAACAGTTTGCCCCAGGGCTCCCGCAGGGGGCTACTTAGCACCTGTAGAACCCCCATTGCCAGGTCCTTTTTCTGAATAGTCAGTCCCAGGCCTTGGCGCCAGGGGCTCCTCACCCTTGCTCGGCGTCTGTTCTTTCCTGTGTAGCTCCAACATCACCAACGTTCACCTGGACTATGGCAGGATCCAGATGTGTCTCCAAGAGGAGTGGTTCTCAACAAACATCTTGCACGAATTTGACATTGAACTGAGACTGTGAGTCGCACAGATGCAGGGTCTGAAGGGAGGGTTCCTCCCCCCTGGGAACCTGCAAAGCGAGGGTGGGGGAGAATTTGGCAGCAGATTTTTCTGACCCCAATCGGGGTACAAATCCTGGCTTCCAAACTCACTTGCTGTGTGACCTTGAGCAAGACAGGGGTTTGTGTCTGTGCCATGGTTGCTTTAGCTTAAAGGTGGAGGGTGGTCAGGAGCCGTGGACTCATTTAAATTATGTGACTCATCATCTAGGGTCTACTTTTGAAGAAGAGATCCCCTTTACTTCACCACCCTTCCTGTCTTTTATCCTTTAACATCCACTGTCGCCAAGGGAAGGGAGGCCACAGTTAAAAGCTAAAGATTTTAAAACAGAGATTAACTTTCAGCTTTTGAATTTCCAAAGTCCCCAATCTACTTAAAGGATTTTCAGAAGCAACTATATGGTGAGTGGGGGTTTTCTCCTTAGTCACGGTCACAGGCTTCATTTGCAGGTGACCTGGAGCCCCGGGCTGGCATGTTGAGCAGACTCTGAGTGGGGACAGTGCCCACCCACATGGAGAGCAATTCTTCATGTTGGCTGTTCTACCCCCTTCTATTTTTCCTGTATTTTCTCCTTTCCCCTCCTCCTTCTTGTCCACAGGCCCTTCGATAATGAGATCACAAAGATGCACGTATGCATGACACTCATCGTGGAATTCTGGCTGGACAAAGATGAGTTCGGCCGAAGGGATCTGGTAATAGGCAAATGCTCCGTGGAGCCCAGCAGCATCCACACAGCGATCCTCACTGTGTAAGGCCCCTGCTCCCCTCCCCAGGCCTGGGCCCCTTCTGACCAAGAGGCTAAGCCACACACAGATCTCACCCTTTCCCCAGAGTGTTTCTCCTCCCCCTGGGTGGGGAGCCCAGAGGAGGCCTGGCCACCCTCCCAGAAGCTGGACTCTTCCTCCTCTCTCCCCACAGCCTGTCTGCACAGTCGGTCACCTCCCAGCCATCCTCGCTTCCTCTCTTTCTTGCCATCCCCACAGCTGATGTCTCCTCCTCCACTCCCTGGGAACCTCCACCAACGTATCATGGCTCAGACCTCAGCTCGTTCATTCTATTCTCCCCCTGCAGCAGAAGTTAACTTTCTAGCACAGAAATCTGGTCACATCTCCAGCTCCAGGCCTTCCTGTGGTAGTCCAGTACCCTCTGGCCTCTGTATGGCAGGGCCCTTCTGGTGTTTTTCCTGCCCCACTCTCCAGCCCTTTGCTCTCTAGACCTCTGGAGGAACTACCCCTCCATTTTCATACCACCCTGCCTTTGCATGTGCTGGCCCTGCACCTGAAGTGCCCTTCCCTTCCTTAAAGTCCTCATCACCCCCCCTGGTGGCGCAGCGGGTTAAAGCACAGCACTGAGAATCTAAAGCCGCTTCCACATGAGTTCGATTCCCGTCTGCCCCGGAGGTGACCCACATGGCGTGGCAGACCTCTTCTGACCCACCCGCTGCTCCCCTCAGCAGTGTACTTCGTTGATCTGCCTGTTCTGCTCCCCACTCTGTCTCTGGTGAAGCCTCTCACCCCCCTCATCTCTGGCCTGTACCCCAGTTCTGTATGCACAAATAAATCAATCTTTAAAAAAAAAGTCCTCATCACACACTCATTCAACATTTTCTGAGAACCTACTATGTGCCAGGCATGACATGCTTTGATGCTAGGGATACAGCCTTGATAAAAAAAAAAAAAAAAAAAAAAAAAAAAAAACAGAGCTAAATGAGGATCTACACACTGTTGAGGTCAGTCAACCTCAACAGACGAATCCTTTAATGGAGGGCATGATGCGTGTTTGATTTCTCTTGTTTGAACACCACAAGTAACCAAATCCTCAGTGAAGTTCCCTTCATTTATTCACAGCTGTCCACTGAATGCCAGGATCACACCCAGCATTCCTGGAGTGGACAGTGCAGAGGAAAGCCTGGACTCTACCTGGACTCTCGGGCTCTACTCACTTGGTCACAGTCCCCCCAGCAGAGCCGCACACGCCCCCAGGCTGGGCGGCCTCTCCGACTACCACTGCCTTGTCTAGGGACCGTGTATTCACGCTCATCGGCGTGGCCTGTATTTATCAGCTCTGTCCTGTTTGTCTACCTCTTTCTAGTGACATCCCACCAAAGACAAAACATCTTCTCCACAATCTTAGAGAAAGTCTGGAAAAAGTCATCCCACACCTCATAGAAAGTCAAGTAAGTCGGAGAAGATCATCTTTATCGGAGAGGTTCTTGAGTCTGAGGTCCAGGGCACACATAGCAAGGAGTTTCCAACCCTGGGCTTCCAAACCTGAAAGCTGTCCACTCAAGTTCCGACTTTGCCATCTGCTGGTTCTGTGTCCTCAGATGTAGTCTCCCTGGGCCTCAGCTTCTGCCTCTGCCCCCTGGGAGCTGCCACAGTCTGCATCTTTAGAGTGTGGTCTTGGGGTTTAAGGAGACAAAGTGTGGGAGCGCTATGCATGGCGCATGACATGTAGCTGGAGCTCAGTACAAGGAAGCCATTATTGCCGTGATTCCGGAAACCCAGCAGAGTCTAAGCTTCCAGCCACAGGCTCACCGGCTTGCTTTGCCCAGTCCCTGGTCTGATCCTTCACTCTGTGCTGGTGGCCCAGGTGTGTCCTCTGATCAGTGAAATCCTCGGGCAGCTGGATGTGAAACTGTTGAAGAGCCTCATGGGTGAGTGTGCCTGTCCATCCAGAGAGGACCAATGGCTGTCTTCTGGAGCCCCAGTGGGACCTGCTGGGGGGCGTCTCACACGCTGGGAGAACCATATTGTAATGACCACTATAATCCCTGAGAGAGCTGGACAGCAGTAGGCAGCCCCCTCAGCACGCTGTGTCCACCCTGTCACCCAAACCCCCAGGTTACTGGAGATGGTAGATTCAGCACCCACTCAGTGGGGAGCTCTGACCCCACCCCACCCTGCCCTTGCGGAGATCAGTCAGTCGAGTGACTGGACACACATAAGACAAGAGGCGTGTGACTAAGTGCCATTAGAAAGAGTCTGAACACAGATGCTCCTGGTGCTGGCCTTTGGTCCACACAGATGGTGAACAAGCCCTGTGAGGACTTGGGGTAAAGGGGTAGCACACCCGTGACTGATGCTACCTCTCTTTCCCATAGAACAGGCTGCTGCTCGAGACTGTGACCAGCTGTGAGGCCAGTCAGCTCGCCACACGCAGGATTGAGTGTCCTCCAGCTACTGGCCGGTGATCAGAAGAAAATTCAACATTGGGGAGCCCTAAGTCTCCCTTAGACTGTGGCACCTGTGGACATCCAGCCCCCTCTCAAAATAAATTCTGTCTGAAGTATGCAGAGATGTCCAGCCTGGCCCTGAGGTTTGGGTTCCCAAGTCAGCCCTGGTCTGGTCTGGCCTAAGATTGAATCAACTGATAGAAACAGCAAGCACCCTTCCTGTTCCCACGTTTGGCAGTCAGAAGCCCAGGCATGGATTTGCTCATCCATGCAGGGAGGCTCCTACTGAAACTTCCCACGTCCTTCACTCACCCTTCTCTTCTTTACTGAGCGCCATGTGCTCTGATGGGCTCCAAGGGAGTGTAGGGTAAGGGTGTGAGGAAAAGCACAAGCACTAGTGCTGAACAGTCCATGACATGGTCCTTGGGGCTCTGGGGATCATACTTCAGGGTGAGCCCTGGCCCGCGCCCTGGCGCACAGGGTGGCCCACTCAGCTACAGCAGGGGCACATGCTTTATCTTTCAGTCTTCAATGGGAACAGAAATCTTGTAGGGCGTGGAGCCCCGGGAAGGAAAGAGAGAGCAGCTGGTGGAAGGAAATTGTGGCACTGCTTTATAAAACTGGATGGCAGCATCTTCTTAAGGGCTACACAAGCCTTCTGTGAGCCAGCCATCTCCTGCTACTCCCAGAGTGCTCAACAGAAGTATGTGAGCACCGGCCCCCCAAGGTGTGCACAGATTGCACACCGCAGCAATGCCACGTCAGCCCCAAAGCGAAACACCATCACAGAATGGGCAGGGAGCACTCGCCCAGAGAAATACTTGACATGATGAACTGGCCGGCCAATGCCTGCACCACAGGGTGGACCTCACACACACCACCCAGAGCACGCATTGCAGCCAGGCTGGATAGAGCTCAACACCAGCAAAACGAGCCCTTGCAGCTGGGGGTCAAGACAGCAGTTACCCTAGGGCAGAGGGCTAATCAATGGGAGGGCCTCGAGGCCATGGGGGTGCTTCTGGAGAACTAGAAATCTCTGGGTTTTGATCTGGGGGCTGGTTATAGGGAGTATATAGTTTGAGAAAAGAATTGAACTAGTATGCACATTTCTTTAACTTTTTTAAAAAAAGAATATCTTGATGGTACCTGTAGAATTCTATAAAAAACATTTGCAATATGTTTAAGCAGGTGCCGGGTGCATGGAACTGCTTATTAGAATTCATGTAATTCACTGGTAATTATTCAATTAATGACTAGTGAGTCCTTAAATGTTGATTCCTGCCCTCCTTTACTGGAGGATGGGGAAAGTATACTGAGAAATCAGGGCTACACATATTAATAATAATAGTAGTGACGCACACATTAGTAATAATATCACGTGTGAGTACTACCCTTGTTAGTAATGCTGCTATTGTGACAGTGGCAGCTCTCAGCACATAGCAAATTGGCAGGACACATACATGTTAATAGCCCACACAGACCAGGCACTGAGATGCTCAAGCTTGGTCCTCAGGGCTTCTGCTCAGCATCTTCAGTGCAACCCCATGAAATATGAAGCTGCTCCCCAATTTTTGCCTGAGATCACAGAGACTCAGGAAGAAAGTCACTCCCCAGGTCACACGGTGAGGAAATGACCCAGTCAGTGCACTCAGGCCACGCTCTTGACCACTGTGATCTGGCCCCCTCTGTCCTTTCTACCCCTGTGCCCCCTCCCCAGGTCGACACCATGCTGAAGAGAAATAATGAAATATGCTTCCAGCTGGACTGACAAGCTCAAACAAGGGAGTGTCCGCAGCCAAGATGGGAACAGGGCGAGGGGCCTCCTGTCTCCATCTTTCAATGCAGGCTCCCTAATCCGAAATGCTTCACTGGGATTTACACCCTAATCGCCCATATCCACACCAGTGACTCCCCTTGAGAGTCTGAGTCTGGGGTGGTTTCCTACTCATGAGTCAAAGAGCAAACAAGTGAGGGTTGGGCCCCATTCTCCAGCTAGACAGCCCGGAGCCTGGGGACGGAGCTTCCCAGCCTCTTGACCCCTCTCCATGGCTCAGGGGCCTCCTGCTCAAGGAACCTCTTGGGTTTCTTACAGTCTGTTTTATTCTTTGCATTAATAAGATTCACGGAGCCTGGGCTCATGGTATTTACTCCTGGGAGAATTTATTGAACAATAGAGCTGTGTATTGACACCGAGGAGCGAGCTTGGGGGTAATTTAAGCAGAAATTCACCCAAACTCCGCAGAAGCTTTGTCCAGCCCTGTCTGTGCCTTGAAATGACCATGCCCTCTCCTGGAGGGGTTCCAGCAGTGCCTGGGGCTGGTCGGCCAGTTACCTTTGCATTCCTGTTTAACCCGGGAGGTGGCTGCTGTCCACTCCATGGTATAAGAGAGCAGACTGAGGCCACAAAGGAGCACCTCAGGGTCCCCAAGCATTGTTAGAGGTGGCAAAAGCCCTGCTGTCTCATAAAACGTGTTTCTTACCAGTTTTCTATGTAGGCAGGAAGATTACTCTCCAAGCTAAGTGGAACGTGCCCTAAGCAGGTTCTACTTAAGGAAAATATATCTTTGGGGCCTCCCTGGTGGCACAGGGGTTAAAGCCTCAGCACTGTGAAGCTACCAGCAGCCACTGCAACATGAGTTCCATTCCTGGCCAGGAGCTGACCCACATGGTGCAGCAGACTGCTCCTGTCTTGCCTGATGCTCCCCCAAGCAATGTATCTCAGTAGATCCGCCTGTTCTGCTCCCTACTCGATATCTGATGAATCCTTTCACCCCCATACCTCTGACCTGTACCCCAGTTCTGTATGCATAAATGAATAAAACTATATATATATGTGTGTGTGTGAGTGTATATGTGTGAATATATATACATGTATACATATATATATTCACACACATGTATGTATATATATATTCACACACACACACACACACACATATATATATTCACATTCTCACCAAAGCCAGGGTACTCAGCACACCCTGAGCCCTTTCTGCATCCCACCCCCAGGGGTTTCCAAGCCCATCTGCTGACCCTCGTCAACCTCAGTCCCTAACCTGAACTTGTTCCTAGGAACAGGGAACAAGGTCACTTCCAAATTCTGGAGAATCTGACCACCTCACTCCCAAATTCTGGAGAACAGAACCCCCTGGAAAATCAGCACTGTCTTTTCAAAATGGATGTTTTGCTTCACAAAAGAGGGGCAGAAAAGCCCCCCAAACACATCACAGTGTGAGGAGTCGGAAGCAAAGGCCACCACCGGCTGGTTCCAGAAACACATGGGAGGGCTTTGATGTCACCATGCAGAAAACACTGTCCTCAGTGTTGGCAGCTTGTCTTTCCACATGGAAGGACTGTGCCCGCAGCCCTGCAGGGCCGGAAACAGCAGCATCTGGGGCTCCCGGAACAGCAGCTTCCAGAAGCAGCAAGAAGGTTTTTGAATTTCCAAAGCCCGGGTCCTTGACAAAGCAGTAGTGACGGGACAGAACAAGGGCTGCCAGATTGCGTGTGTTGGGGAGGGGGGTGACTCTAAAAGAACAGCAGAGGGTGTTGGGGATAATGGAATTGTTCTGTGTCTGGCCAGTCAGGTGAGCTCATAAAACTACGCACGTGTTAGTTCACAGAACTGTGCCAAAAAAGCCAATCTGACTTACGGGTTCATTTTTTTCAGCCTGGGCTTTTCAACTTCAATTCCAGACACAAGAGACACCAAGACCTGCATGAACATAATGAGATGAAGCAAGGTTTCTTACCCCCAGACTAGAAAATTCCCCATGCCACGACTGGTAGAGTGTGAAGGTCAGAAAGGAATAGAGGAAAACATAGTTCTGGGGTTTTTGTCAGTGACCCAGGCCTTTGCTACTCCCCAGTAATCTTAGCATGGGACAGGAGACAAAGGAAACCCCAAGTGCGTATACAGGACCCAAGAAAAGCGGTGTCTGTGCCCATGTCCCTCCAGAGCCGGAGACACGCAAGACCCCAGGGAGGTCTTGTTGAAGGACCTAGGAGGGTTTGACAGATGAAGTGGGCAGCGGCTCCGCCCCCAGCCAACCTTCACCCCAGGACCCACCTGAAGCTCATGGAGTTGGAAAACAGCACAAGGATGCTGTGTTTTTAACAAGGGAGCAGAAAGCAAATGCCAAATCCGAAATCGCCTTTCAGACAGGAGGGAGGCACAGGCTGCCCAGCCGGGGCAGGGATGTGCGGCCAGTCCCTGCATTCAGGAGCTGGGACCTCCTTCAGCCATCTTGGCTCAGTTAAAGCCCTGGAACAGAATTAAAATCCGGGGGGGTGGAGGGGGGGGCAGTTTCTATTACCCAGCAAAATGGCACTGGAAATGGTGATGCATTATAGACGCTTGAAAGGAAAACGCGCGACACGGAAGTGACGGCATGGGATGCCCACCGGCTCCCCGCCTTCTCCCCGCAGATCTGGCGGTAGATTTTATCCCCACCCCCACTTTGCAGATGAAGAAACCCATCATTCAAGGGGTGGGGTGACTTACCTGAGGGCCCAGGGCCCGGCACCTGCCACAGCACCCACTTCCGGCCATGGCTCTTCCCTCGCCATGTGTCTCTGATGTCTGAGGGACAGTACTGACCACGCCTCATAAAGATGAGGCTCACCTATGCCACAGATGTACACCCCTCCTCGCTCCTCTTTGCTTAGGTTGGGTAGGGCAAAGGCTGCCCTCAGATCTGAGGCTCGACGTCATGGTGTTCTCATCTGTGCGATAGACGCCAGAGGCCCTAGTGGTAGGGACAAACGCTCCTTGCTTCGTCTGCAGGTGGGGAGGAGGGAGGAAGGGTAGAGGTAGAGGCCACTGGGTGCTGCCAGACGGCCCAGGCCTAGAGGCCTGGGAGGACTTTCCCGAGTAGGAAAGTGAAATGTCACAGGAATGTAAATTCACAGAGGCAGGTAGCACAGTGGTCAGGGAGTGTGTGGAAGGTGTCTTCAGCAGCAGCAGTGATTCACCAGCGCGTGTGAGCACCTGGGTCGTCTGAGCACCACCACGCCTCAGTTTCCCCCTTGTAAAGTGGGGTATCAGTCCCACCCTACACAAATGGGAGGATTCATAGAGATGAAAGGCAGTGCAGACTTGGGGTGCTCATCCCTGCCGGGCCTCGGTGTCCTTGTCTGCAAAGGAGAGGCAACAAGTCCCCCCCCCCCAGGTGGTTGTAAGAATGAAGAGTCCCAGCCCATGACAGCCCCGCAATAGACTCAGAAGACAGGAGACTCCGACTTCAGAACTGAGGGACACCCCAGGGAAACCAGGCATTTTGATTTCTTTTGACACTTTGGGACCAAGAGTTCTCCAATTGGCAAAGATTTGGAGCAGGGATGGAGAGCCAAGAGGTGAGACTGGGGTCCCGTCCTGGGCTCTGGGGCACTGCCTTGTGGGGGTTCCAAGTCTGTTCTTCAGGCCTTCTGGGAGTACATGCCCGGCCTTGGTCCTGCTCATCAAACCATGAAGTCTTGAGTAACGTCCCCATCTCAGGTTTTTCTCTGTTTAACTTGCTTCTCAAATGGCTTAACCATCCCATCTGCTAATGTGATTGGCAATTATTTACTTTGGAGAGCCCTGAAAGACATCACTAGCCTGCAGAATGCAGAATGATCTAGAAGCCCATCATCCGATCGCAGATTTCCTGATTCCCACCCTATAAAGGAGCAGCTGGGCTGCAGGGGCGAGCAGGCATAGAAGAGGGACAGGACACAGGGCAGCTCCGCGAGCCCAGGTGAGCTGCCCATTCCCTTCCGCCCTCTGCCCTGGGTGCTGGGGTGCAGGCTCCCTGCTGGGAGGTGTACGGGGCCATTTTCAGGGGCACGGGGATGGCTTTTCCCTCAGTTTCCCTATAAAGTCGGTAACCGGCACGGTCACTTGGAGCAGAGAATTTGGTGGTGAGGCACATGGCTGCAGGTGCCCCCACTGAAACCCCATCTCCAATTGCCTCTTATTCTTTAAATCAAAATCTCTGTAGCAAGAGTTTTGCTTTGAGCCTGCCATTGTGGACTTGGAACATCGCCCACACACCTCCTCAAATCCACTCAGTTGATGTATTTTTCTGAGTCCTTTATTTCCATGGAGTTCTCCAAAGATCTGTTTCTTAAAAGATATTCAGAGACCCCAATCAAAGTTTACCTTTTCGGGGAGGCCACAGCTGGCTCTTTGGAGAAAAGCCCTCGCGAGTCCAGCTAGTTACAACACAGTGGAACTTCAGCCCAGTCAGTCAGTTCACTGATTTCTGTCCCAAGCAGCCAGGCAGAAGGTACCTCTCTGACTTCAACATCTTTGTCAGTTGCCAAATAGGCCATGAGAAGGTTTCTGGTATACAGGAGGGTTGGTGCAAAAATCAGCCAAATGTCAGGGATTGCCTCCGAATTTCTTCCAAGTCAGCTTGAGACAGAGGAGAAAAGTATAGAAAGAACGTCTATTGGGTGGTGGGGTGGGTAGAGGAGGGAGGCTGAGGGGAGGATTTAGAGCTGTTTCCAACCACTACCATCAATTTGCTGTGCAACCTTGGGAAAGGCTCTGGCCCTCTCTGATCCCTGGTTCTTTGTGCAAAGACTTTGGATGGTGCCGAGGTTTGCCCACACTGGACTGGATGAGATTGATGGTTACGCCTGTGGGACCTCTGATAGTCTGTGATCGGCAAGGGCTTTCACAAACCATCATGGGCTGGGCCCAGACCAAAGAACTTATTTGTGATGGTAGTAAAGCAGCTGAGTTCCTCAACTGCAACCACTAGTGTGTATAATAAGCCTTTTTCTTTGTTTTGCCTGATTTAAGTGATTGCAGGCAAGCCCAGTGGGAGGTAAGTCTAAAGGCCACTTCATTTAAACCAACGCTTTTGGGTCAGACAGATTTGACTTCAAATCTTATGTCTGTTAGGCACTCAGGGCAAGCTTCCTAAATTCCAAGACCCCAGTTTCCTTACCAGGCAATGTGGGTGATAAGTGGCCACTTTGTAGGGTGTGGTAAAGATGAAATTAGTTACAAGTGCACAGTGCTCAGCCTGATACCTGGCTCACAAGGAAGGCTGAGTGTCACTGGTGCTCTGAGGGCCAGGAGCTGGTGGTGCAGATTCCTCTCTGGCATCGTGACACATCCATCCTTCTGTCCACAGACACCAAGATGCTTCAAACTGGGAGCCTCGTCGTCTTCTGTGGGCTGTTGGCCCAGGCCACAGCCCTGCCAGGAAACCTGCCCCTGGCCCTGAACCTGGACCAAAATCCGCCCTGGGCGGGGGCCCCAGGCCTGACCCCGGCCCAGAATCCCACAGATCTTGCCGGAAGCTTGATAAGTGGTAAGTGAGAATCGCTGACAACCTCCTTTAGATGTGCACATACACAGCCATCGATGGGGTCAGAGATGAGTGGGAGAGAGACCAAGCATCTTGATGTGATCCATCTGACCCCAACACCCCTACCCTCATTTGCAGCTCTCAGCAATGGTCTGCTCTCTGGGGGTCTGTTGGAAATCCTTAGAGACCTTCCACTCCTGGACATCCTGAAAACTGAAGGACACAATTCCAATGGCCTGCTGGGGGGCCTGGTGGAGACAGTGAATACATTGATCCCTTCCTTGAAGAACATTATTGAGTGAGTAGCCCTAAAACAGATGTTGGCCTCTCCCCTCCAATGAGGGAAGCCTCACTGGAGATCTGCCAGCCCCAGACAAGGATGCTGAGAAGGGAGAGGGTTAGTCCAGCACGGACCCACTCGTCCCAAGGCACCTCGCACAGTTTGCCGGGAGCATGCCCTCTGCAGCTGCCCCAGGCTGGGGGCACTTCCCAGCATCATCTGTAATCTACATGGCATCCTGTTGCATCCAGTTTCATAATAATCCCCAGTTTGCAGATGGGAAAACTGAGGCAGGGAGGGTGCCTGTGCTCACACAGCCAGAGTGACCAAAGGGAGGAATCCAGTCTAAGTCCAAAGCCAAAGCCAGTGTCACCACGCCATGGTAATTTTGTCCCCTTAACCTGTGAAATCGCTTAGAACACAGGTGGTCGTGGATGTAAGCAAGAATGTGTAAGCCGCTCTCCTCGACAACCCCATCAGTGCCGTCAAGAATGCGATACCCATGAAATGGTCTAATCGATGTTTCCACTGGAGTCCCCCGAACTCTCTAAGCAAGAAGCAATGGAAACCTCGATGCCAGTGTGTTAGCAAGGCCTGGACCAACACCGTTGCCAAGATTCCTACCCACCCAGATGCTTGCCCCTGACTTAAAGACAGATGAATAGCTTTGAGTTTGAATTCCAAGTGCAACATCCTTGCTGGGTGACCTGAGACAAGCCACTCTGTCCCTCTGGGCTTGGTTTTCCCTTTAGTAAAATTAGATTGTGGTGTCCACAGACAGGAACAGTTGCCAGCATCCCCTGCCTCAGTGTCTGACTCGGGGACAAGGCTTCCTCCCATCCCCTCCCTCCATTCCCCCAACTTCTGCTCTTCTACCTCCATGATAAGCACTGTTCTGACCTGTCATTTAAGGTCTTAACGAATGTGGGGTTCCTAGCCATAAATGTTTGTGAGGGACTGACACTCCCCCACTTAGCCCTCCATCCAGCCCCCTTTCTTTGCAAGAGCTGGCAAATGAGGTATAAACAAATTCCAGACAGTCTCTACCCTGCAATACCTCGTAGAGGTGGGATGAGGACAGGGCTCAGGGAGTGTCAGGACTTAACCCAGTGCAGAGACAGGAAAAGACGGTGTACGGATCGATCGGAATGCAGATAGGTGTTGCCTGCCAAACCTCTCTCCTCCCTCCCCTCTCACTGGGGGAGTGGGGAAGGGGCACCACTTCTGGGATAGGTAACATTGAGCTAAATGTGGTTTCCAAGTTTGGAGTTAGAGGTGCTAATGTTCTCTCCACCTTTGCTTGCTGAGCAGCATAGAGATCATCAACCCCCAACTGCTGGAACTTGGCCTCACCCAGAGCCCTGACCGCCACCGTCTCTATGTGACCTTACCTCTGAAAATGGTGCTCAGTGTGAAAGCGTGAGTGGCCCCAGTGGGGGATGGAAGATGAATCACAAAGGGGATCCTGATGGCCATTGGTAACCCAAAGGGGTAGCGGAGTCTAGCAGATAGGAGCCTCCAATTTCTTTTTATTTATTTATTTATGCATATAGAACTGGGGTACAGGCCAGAGGTGCAAGGGTGGTGAGAGGATTCGCCAGACAGAGAGGGGAGCAGAACAGACAGAGTGACTGAAATACACTGCTAAGGGGAGCAGCAGGCAGGTTGGGAGAGATCTGCTGCACCATGTGGGTCACCCCCCTGGGTCGGGGATCGAACTCACACTGAAGCAGCGGCAGCTTTGTAGCATGCACTTCAACCCCTGTGCCACCAGGGAGGGCCCGAGCCTCCAATTTCAACCCATGTACTGCTATGCTGAGTGACTCCGGGTCACTTGGGAAACTCATTTGACCAGTTGGGAAGTGAGATAAGTGCAGGTGTGCATGAGATGAAATAAGGTGACGTTGTTCTTCCTGCCCAGGGGAAGAGTCTCCCTTTGGGAGGCGGTGGGGCCTGTGTAGCCAGCTCTCTCCCCCGCAGGCCTCTGGTTGAAAATCTGTTGCAGCTGGCTGTGAAGCTGAACCTCACTGTCGAGGTCGCGGCTGTGACAGATGAGCAGGGGAAGACCCACCTGGCACTCGGTGACTGCACTCACTCTCCTGGCAGCCTGGAAATCTCCCTGCTGACTGGGTGAGGCCAGAAGGGTGTTTCTTCGGCCCAGACACCATAGGAGGAGATGATAGATAATGATTGGGAAGATGGGCCAGTGGGAGAAGAGATGAATGGGAGGATGGAAGAGTGGGAAGGTGGGTGGGTGAGTGGGTAGGTGGATGGATGGGTGGATGGGTGGGTGGATGGGTACAGGGAGGGAGGGATAGTTAAATAGTCACTTAGACTTCTTAGGCTGGGCTGACCAATTTTATGCTGGATCGGACAACAAGAAATCTGAATTAAAGTCTCATCTATTAGAGAATGAGAAGAGGCAGAGAACTCACTGTGTACACTCGGACAGTGCTTCCCCACCTTGAGCTCAGTTTACTGAAACAGTTTACACATAACTATAATAAGGAGATAATCCTCAAACAGTGGACATGAATGTGCTTTGTCCCAGAGCGGGATGCTTACCTGGGTCACCAGGGAGACTGAGTGACTTACTGAGCACATGAATGAGCTTTACATGTATAATTAGCTAAGTCCTTGTGATATCTACCAGCTAAGCATAGTTACCCATTTATGGATTTTGCACCATTATATTGAACATCTACTGTGCACCGGCACTATGGATTATTCTACATATGTGCCTACTGTGTGCACTGCTGTGTAGGGTGTCGCTAACTTTGGAGAAGCCCCTTGGTGTTTGTTTGCATGTGGGTCTGGGTGCACAAGTCCCAGTTTCAGTTACTTGCTGGGGCAGCAGAGGACTTGCTAGTCCTGCTGAGCCACCTCTGTACTAAGCTCAGGCCACTGTATTGCCCTGCGGGTTTTCTCTTTCAGGCTTCCCTCTCTCCCCATTCAAAACTTTGTTGACACCATCAATGAGGTCTTGACCAATGTCCTTCCTAACCTGGTGCAGGAAATGGTAAGTGAGTAAAAGTGGGGAATCTTGATCCTTGGCCCTTGGAGCTTCTCAGGCTGTCAGAAATGCTGGGTGAACTTTTCTGAGCCCCTCAGTTTCATACATAAATTCCACGCATAGATCCATTTATCTATGTTCAAATGCATCCTTCAAAACACATTGATGGCCTCTACTCTAGGTTGGGCCCTAGAGTACAATCGTCCACAGTACAGCTGAAATGGACTGGTTCTTGCCCCGAGGAGCTCCCAGCCCAGCCTTTATGGCCACAGACAAGCTGTCTTCCAAGCTCTGCTTGGTGCCTCCACTACCCAGAAATCTGTCAGGAGTGAGCAATAGCACATTGTGTGATTGGGCACTTCACAGGCCTTCAATTTTTCCTTCTGCCCAAGGTGGTTGTGGGAATATACAGCAGTGGGAATGTTTAGAATCACTTTTAGATAAAAGAAAATGATAGAAGATCTCCCCAGAGGACCCATCCTGGGATGCAGCTGCTCCCAGTCCCCTCCCCCGCAATACACACGCACACACAGGCCCCTGACCCTCTCTCTGCCCCAATCAGGTGTGCCCTCTGGTCAATAACATTATTAAGCAATTGGACCTCACCTTGGTACATTCCATCATCAGTGAGTACCGTTTCCAGATCTCTCTCTCCCTCTGCCATTGCATTTACCTTGACCTCCTGTTTGTCACGCTGTGACCTTGTGAAGTCACTCACATCTACCTCGAGGCTTGGAGTAAAGGGGTTGAACTGATCCTCTGAGGATCCTAAACAAGGTATTTCATTTTCACTTGGGGGACAAACAAGGACAGTGAGTCCCCCAAAGAGGTCGGTCCCTGCGTACCAGAGGACAGCTCTGTCCCTCCAGACTCAGCCCCCCCATCTCAGGTTCCCTTGTCTTGAATTATCCAGACGATGCTGCTTTGCCCCTCATCTGCCCTGATATTGAGAACAGTGGGGTTGGTGGTCAGAGGAAGGAGGTGCGGCCCCCCCCCATGCCCTGCCTGAATTTGGTTGGATCCCCAGAGAGTCCGGTCCCCCTGGCCCCACACCTCAGGGGAGAACCTCAAATGTTTTTGGACTGCTCCACTCTGAGACCATCACTCTGGTCTGTGATTGCTTTGACTTTTCACTCTCCAGGCATGCTGACCCACGGGCTGGAGTTAGTCATCAAGGTCTAAGGCCTCGGGAAGAGCACCAGCACCTGCTGAGCCGGTGAGGGCTGCTCCTTCTCCCCAGGATTTGGGGGCTGGATGGTCTCGTAGGCGGCAGCAGGGACTTGAGATGTTCTGGGAGCAACAAGCAGTCACAGGCGTACACAGAGATGCAGAGAAGTCTACAGAGAAGTTGACAGAGAGGGCGAGCCCACGGCAGGCAGTGGCCACACAGCTGTGAGGAGCACGTACACACACACACACACACACACACGCACACACACACACAGACAAATGCCCAAGTTGCTGAGACACAGACACAAGCACACACTCTCACCCCGGCATGTGCATGCATACACACACCCATACACTGTGTGGGCACGCACACCTCCCCACACTGTGTGGGCACGCGCATCCCCCTCACATGCTTTGTGGGCACACACACCCCACACACACACTACGTGGGCACGCGCACACCCACACACACACACTATGTGGGTACATCACACCACACACACACACACTACGTGGGCATGTCACACCCCACACACACACACTGCGTGGGCACGCCACACACAGGTACAGGTGGATCCACAGACACGCACCCACGCACTCACACGCACGCACAGGGAGCCTCAACCCCAGGCCCGGAGCACCTAATCTCGGGGCCTCAGGGTCAGCCTCATGCCCTCCCTGGAGGGGAGGTTTGATGATGGACCAGTTCCTGGTGGGGTCCATCCTGATTCGGGTCTCCCAACAGAACCATTTCCTGCTGCTCAGACCATTCTCTGCTGGCGTCCCAAGGCTCAAGAAAGCTGGCCACGTCCTGGACAATGGCCAGTCACTGCTAGGTGACCAGAACAAACTTCTCCCCAAAGAAGTGGCTCCCTCTCTTATGTTCCTTGTCAAATAAAATTGCTATTTCTGCACATGAAAATGTCGTTCTTCACCATCACCTGTGCGTTCATGGGCTGCAACACGCCGTGGCTGGGCTGGAGCCACAGAGCAGAGCTTGAGCCTTTCCTTGGAGCCTATGGTGGTCGTAAGCAGGACAGTAAGGTGTTCTGTGAGTGTGAGTTTGGGGGAGGAGGACAGGGAGCTGCCGGTTGCTGTAATGCTGTGGGCGGACGTGACACTTGGGGTGAGAAAATGGCGGCCAGTGGAGCCATGTCAGAGGCCGAGCGGGCTTGGAGGTGGGAGGGACAAAGCGGGTGGGACGTCCAGCTGTCTCAGCCTGGGAGGATGAGCTCGTTCCAGCAGGAGGAGAAAAGCCAAGCGGGTGTATGGAAGCTCCTGGGGACCCCCAGGCACCCTTCTTCTTGTGCTCACTTGGATGCAGGCATCCTGGCCTCGTTTGCATTCTCTCTGTAAGAGGCACCACCGTGACAGAAGGGAAGTATGGGGGCACAGGGCATCTGGGCCAGAGACTATTCCTGGAAGGACGAGCCTAGGGAAGAGTGACCAGGGAAGGACTGTTGATGCCCTGGACGCGAGTCATATTTTAGAGGAAGAGCCCAAATTTTAAGATCCTCAGGAGAGGAAATCGAGACTAAAGGGAGATAAGGTTTATGAAAACTTACATGTAAGAAGGCTGGAGGGAAGTTTGGCCACAAATGAATAAGAAAAGCTTGTTTGAGATCCTTAGAGGACCAGTCCAACCCTCTCCCTCCAAGCCTTCGGGTAGATGTGACTTCACGAGGTCACAGCATGACAAAAAGGAGCATCAAGGTAAATGTAATTGCAAGTTTTGCCCTTAAGTCTGGGCTCTGCGAGCCTGTCTTGTCCGGTGGCATCTTCTCTCATGGCCCACGGGCCACGAAGACCTCTGTGCCACACGTGACAAGCAGCAGACCCCACCAGCTGCACTTGCTCCCCCGTGGGCAGTGAAGCTGCAGGTCTACTAGGTCCTGGACTCTCTGGGCCACTAGGGGCAGCACTGGCCAGCAGCCCAGGCCTACAGAGCAGAGGTTGGGGGGGGGAGGAGCAAGGCAGGGTGGCCCACACCTGCCTTACTGGTCAGCCAGTGAAGGAGGCAATGGCTTGAGTGACCATCCTTGTGGCACGCAGCGCCCCCCATCTGATCTCTCCTCAGCCTCCACCCCCACACGTCCCGCTCCTGGCCACCAAGTCTCAGCCTCCTTCTGAGTCTTCTTCATAAAAACCTCAGTGTTTTCATGTCTTTTGCAGCAACTTGGATGGAGCTGGAAAAGATCATGCTTAGTGAGATAAGCCAGAA